ATCATCAGCAGCAGCAGCAGCATCATATCATCATCATCATCATCATCATCATCATCATCATCATCATCATCATCATCATCATCAGCATCAGCATCAGCATCATCATCATCATCATCATCATCATCATCATCATCATCATCATCATCATCATCCATCAGCATATCATTCATCATCACCATCATCATCATCATCATCACATCATCATCAGCATCATCTCATCATCATCATCATCATCATCATCATCATCATCATCATCATCATCATCATCATCATCATCATCATCATCATCATCATCATCATCATCATCATCATCATCATCATCATCATCATCATCATCATCATCATCATCATCATCATCATCATAATCATCATCATCATCATCATCATCATCATCATCATCATCATCATCATCAGCATCATCATCATCATTATAATCAGCATCATCATCAGCAGCAGCATCGTCATAATCATCATCACCATCACCACCACCACCATCATCATCATCATCAGCAGCAGCAGCATCATCAGCAGTATCAGAATCATCAGTATCACCAACAGCATCATCGTCATCAGCATTATCACCATCGTCATCACCATCATCATCATCATCATCATCATCATCACATCATCATCAGCATCCTCATCATCAGCAGCAGCAGCATCATCAGCATCATCATCATCATCATCATCATCCTCATCCTCATCCTCATCCTCATCCTCATCCTCATCATCATCATCATCATCATCATCATCATCATCCTCCTCCTCCTCTTCTCCTCGTCCTCCTCTCCTCCTCTCCCCTCCCTCCTCGTCTCTCCTCCTCCACTCCTCCTCCTCCTCCTCCTACCCGCCTCCCTCCTCCTCCTCCTCCTCCTCTCCTCCTCCTCCTTCCGCTCCTCCTCCTCCTCCCTCCTCCTCCCTCCTCCTCCTCCTCCTCCTTCCTCTCCTCCTCCCCCCCTTCTCATCTCCTCCTCCTCCTCCTCATCCTCTCCTCCGCCTGCTCCTGCTCCTCCTCCTCCTCCTCCTCATCCCTCCCCTCCTCCTCCTCCTCCTCCTCCTCCTCCTCCTCCTCCTCCTCCTCCATTCATGCTCCTTATAAATAACTTGTCGCGGTCGCACCCGAGGCTAGTTTTTAGGACGGGCCGAGAGTTTCGCCAGAGACTTCCTCACCACTTACGACCCGGAAGCTTCAAAATTGGCAACAGTTTCACCGATGGAGGGCAGGTCGTTTTCAAAATGTGGCTCTCACTTTAGCCCCGCGCACACTCGTTTTTGAATAGAGGACTGTGGTCGCGTCCTCCTCCTCCCGCCTCCCTCCTGCCTCCTGCCCGTCTTGCCTCGGGGGGCGGAGGCTGCGATCTGTGAAAGTGTCGCCACGTTCGAGGCCTGCTGGGGGGTCCAGCACAGTGACGTTCTACGCAGACTCAGATTGGACCTCCCCATCCCTGGGGGGCTGCGATTTGTCAAACTGTCGCCACTTTCGAGGCCTGCTGGGGGTCCAGCACAGTGACGCCCTACGCAGACCCAAATAAGACCCCGCAATCCCTGGGGGGCTGCGATCTGTGAAACTGTCGCCACGTTCGAGGGCTGCTGGGGGGAGGCAGCATAGTGACGCGCTACGCAGATTCAAGTGGGACATCGCCATCCCTGGGGGCGGCGATCTGTGAAACTGTCGCCACTTTCGGGGCCTGCTACGGACGCCAGAATAGTGACGTGCTACGCAAATTCAACTGGGACCTCGCCATCCCTGGGGGGCTGCGATCTGTGAAACTGTCGCCACTGTCGAGGCCTGCTGGGGGTCCAGCACAGTGACGTCCTATGCAGACTCAACTAAGACCCCGCAATCCCTGGGGGGCTGCGATCTGTGAAACTGTCGCCACTTTCGAGGGCTGCTGGGGGGAGGCAGCATAGAGACGCGCTACGCAGATTCAAATGGGACATCGCCATCCCTGGGGGGTTGCGATCTGTGAAACTGCCGCCACGTTCGAGGCCTCCTGGGGGTCCAGCACAGCGACGTCCTATGCAGACTCAACTTAGACCTCGCCACCCCTGGGGGGGCTGCGATCTGTGAAACTGTCGCCACTGTCGAAGCCTGCGTGGGGGTCCAGCACAGTGGCGTCACACGCAAATGCAATTGGGACCTCTCCATCCCTGGGGGGCTGCGCTATGTGAAACTGTCGCCACTTTCGAGGGCTGCTAGGGGGTCCAGCACAGTGACGTGCTACGCAAATTCAAATGGGACCCCTCCATCCCTGGGGGGCCGCGATATGTGAAACTGTCGCCACTTTCCAGGCCTGCTGGGGGGTCCAGCATAATGAAGTACTACGCACATTCAACTTAGACATCGCCATTCCTGGGGGGCTGCGATCTGTGAAACTCCAGCCACTTTCGGGGCCTGCTGGGGGTCCAGCACAGCGACGTCCTACGCAGACTCAAATTAGACATCGCCATCCCTGGGGGGTTGCGATCTGTGAAACTGTCGCCACTTTCGAGGGCTGCTGGGGGGCCAGCAGCATAGCGACGTGATACGCAGATTCAAGTGGGACCTCGCCATCCCTGGGGGGCCGCGATCTGCGAAATTGTCGCCATTTTCGAAGCCTGCTGGGGGGTCCAGCACAGTGAAGTATTACGCAGATTCAACTTAGACATCGCCATCCCTGGGGGGGCTGCGATCTGCGAAACTGTCGCCAGTTTCGAGGAGTGCTGGGGGTCCAGCACAGTGACGTCGTACGCAGACTGAAATTAGACATCGGCATCCCTGGGGGGCTGCGATCTGTGAAACTGCCGCCACGTTCGAGGCCTCCTGGGGGTCCAGCACAATGACGTCCTACGCAGACTCAAATTAGACCTCGCAATCCCTGGGGGGCTGCGATCTGTGAAACTGTCGCCGCTTTCGAGGGCTGCTGGGAGGAGGCAACATAGTGACGTGCTACGCAGATTCAAGTGGGACCTCGCCATCCCTGGGGGGGCTGCGATCTGTGAAACTGTCGCTCGCCACTTTCGAGGGCTGCTGGGGGGTCCAGTATAGTGACGTGCTACGCAGATTCAAGTGGGACCTCGCCATCCCTGGGGGGCTGCGATCTGTGAAACTGTCTCCACATTCGAAGCCTGCTAGGGACGCCAGATAGTGACGTCCTACGCAGATTCAAACTAGACCTCGCCATCATTGGGGGGCCGCGGTCTGTAAAACTGTCGACACTTTCGAAGCCTGCTGGGGGGTCCAGCATAGTGAAGCACTACGCAGATTCAATTTGGACATCGCCATCCCTAGGGGGCTGCGATCTGTGAAACTGTCGCCACTTTCGAGGCCTGCTGGGGTGGGCCAGCATAGTGGGGCCCCGTGGCGGACTCAAATGGGACCTCCCAAATGTTGGTCGCAGAAATACATACGTCCACGTCTCGTCATCACCCCCGTATAAAATCGCCGAAGCTATTCATGTCCCGCATTGCACAGGGGTTGGGTACGTCGCCAGGGTAATTTGTTTTAAACAGAGGCTTCACGGATTGAGGGCGGGTCGTTTTCAAAATATGTGGCTCTCGCCTGAGCGCGGCGCACATTCGTTTGTTTGTGTCTTGTGTTTGCTGACAAAAAAAAACTTCACGGATTGAGGGGAACCCGTTTTCAAAATGTGGCTCTCGCATTAGCGTCGCGCACATTCGTTGAAACAAATGCAGGAGCTTCACGGATCGAGGGTGGTTCCTTTTCAAAATGTGGTTCCCGCCTTGGCGCCGCGCACATTCGTTAATCAAATTTGCAAGACCGTCATGGATTCCCATGATCAGAATACCAGATATTGCGATCTGGAACCATTCCGGATTATGAGGGTGCAACAGTTACGTTCATTCGCAGTGTCGAAATCCCACGAATCGCGTTCTGGCACGATTCAGGATCGTCAAAACGAAGCAGTCAGGTTGATCCGTGGCGGTGGAATCCCAAGAAGAATGTTTTGGCATGCTTCAGGGTCTTCAAACGGTTGTCTTCCAACGAAGCAGTTCCCTCAATGGAAATCAACCGTTGTAGGGGCCTCCGCAGAGGGAGCTTGGAGGGAGGGTTTACTCCAACATCGTTGATGACTTTTGGGTTTGCACTGGTCCTCCTCCTCCTCCTCCTCTTCCTCCTCCTCCTCCTCCTCCTCCTCCTCCTGCTCATCCTCATCCTCGTCCTTATCCTATCTACTTATCCTTCCTCCTCCACTTCTTCTTTCTACCCCGCGTAATCCCCGGAGGGTTTCCACAGCGGCTGGGAGAACAAATGGTCCGATAAGTTGGCAGAGCTCTGGCCACAATGTTCGGCCACATGGGCGATTCCAAAAGGCAGGCGTCTTCGATAACGAGAAGAAGATGGTACGTTGCCTCGACCACACAAACACTTGCTTGCTTTGTACGGCCGGACCTGGGACAGAATAACATCCTTCAAGAACATGAGACCCTGCGCCGGCCAAACTGACGAAAACTCGAGGGTGTCCTCCACCTGGATGCACGAGAGCACCCGTCAAGCACGGAGAATATTAGAGTCCCCTCTCCGAACCGACCTCGACCTCGTGCCTCGCCCCGACCGTACGACGCCTCGACCACACGGACACCTGCTTGCCTTGCAGCGACACCCAGAGGGGGGCCCGATGGCGATCGGCAACGATGACCGCGACGACGACGATGACGATGACGTGGGAGATGGCGCGGGCGACCGCGGCAGGACAACCTGTCTGCCCGAGCCGCGAGCACCGGAGGTCTCTGGGCCTGAGCACGCCGCACGTGCCAGTCGGGGCCCTCGCGACAGCAGCGCGGAGGCCTCCAGGCCAAAGCGAGCGCGCATCAAAACGGCCGACCTCGACGGCAAACCCACCCAGCGACTCCGTGGGCGGACCTGCCTACGGTGAGGAAATTCTCTCCCTCGATGAAACCCCTTCCTGTAAGGTGGCCCTGTACGGCACCTCACAGCGCTGAAGCAACAATACAAGAAACACCCCTCGAATAAAAAACTTAGTCGCCGCACTCCTGGGTCACTGCTTCGCCATGCACGCCATGAATCCTTTAGTGAGCTCCTCCCTGTCAAGATTCTTGCCAATGAAAATCCGCCGACCCATTTGAGGTATCTGGGCGGGTGACCCTCCCCCAAGAAACTCTTCCATCGAGGCTCATAGTTGATGGCATGAGTGGGTCCCGCACACACGAACTCTGCCATCCCGCACGACTTGCATATCTCCAGGCACGCGTTCCCTGCCACCCTCCCTGTCCTCTCCCTTGGCCTGAGAGTGCACGGGAGCCCAGGGTCTGGCAGCACGGGCCCATGACCGCCAAGGGAGACTCCGAACTGCTGCCAGGACGACTCTTGAGGGCCACGAGAGGCTGCCAAGACAGCACGCGAAGCCTGCAAGACAGCCCCTGGACTTCCAATGCCTTTCAGCAGCACACGAGAAGTTCCAAGACAGGCCCCGAGAGTGCGTAAGACAAGCCCCCAGACAGCCAGAATCAGAGAACCCGCATTGTTCACAAGTTTCACTTTCGCGGATTTCACGCAGCAGTCGCTCCAAGAAGCGCCCAGGGCGGCCCTCGGAGGGACCGTGTCGACGGAAGAGCCCCAAGATGGCGCAAGGACGCACGACGGCCAACAGATGGCACTGGGAGCCCCGGCGGGCAGGGCGAGGCGGCCCACGAGAGGGACCCAAGACAAGTCCTCGAGGCCCTGAACGCGACCAAGAGGCGCCCGAGAGACGCCAAGGGCGACCCCAAAAGCATTTGCACCGAGGACATGTCCCAGACAGCCCAAGTAATTCAGGGAGCCTCAGCTGTCGGCGTTGACTGTCTTCCAAGATGGCCGCGGGAGGTTACCGCGAGCCCCGCGAGGCTCCAAGGAGCATCCAAGAAACCCCCAAGACAGTCCCAAGAGGACCCGAAGATGAACCGGAAGACGAGGGGAAACTTTGTGGGGACTGGTTCAGGGGGGGGGAAACATCGGTATGGAATCGACGATAGATCGGCGCTAGGTCCACGATTGCGAAATCGCACGTTCCTGGGCGGGTTGGGCTATCAGGTCCCTATCGGCAATGAATGGGAATTTGGGTGTCGATGCATTCCCCATCGCCCGAGCCTACCCCCCCCAAACGTTGCCCCTGGGAAAAGCATCGATGACACAGACAGACCAGGACAGCCCGAAGACATCCCCACGAGATCACCCGCACAAAAATCCACAGGCTGTCCATTTGAAGGACCCCGCTTGTGAACGGGCCAGGCGGTCAGAGAAACCACGAGACAGGTCGAAGCGGCCCCGCAAGGCCCCAAGAGACGCGCGAGAGGCCCGAGAGAGGTCCCAAGGGAGCCCGAGAGAGGCCCCCGCCAGCCGAAGTGCTGATATGCTCTATGCTTGTTGGCCGAGGTCTGTCTGGGGATACCTCGAGAAGGCCTCCAAAGCGGACCCCAGGAGAGCCCGAAGTCGCACCAAGGAGGCCCGCTACAGCCCCCAGAGCCCCAAGACGACCCTAGAGAGACCCAAGAGGATCCGACACGAAAGAGAGCCCTGTGAGGGCTACAGAGAGGGCCCAGAGGGTCCCAGGATGCGCGAAGACCACGGCCAAAGAGGCCTGGGCAAAGCCAACAGCAGCACCACGCATCAACAAGCAGCAGACAAGCAGCCGCGAGCGGCCCCAGCAAGCAGCAGCGATCAGCAGCAACCAGCGGCGAGCAGCGGGCCAGATACCAGGAAGGAGAAGAAAGGAGGAGGGCGGGGAACAGAGGCAGACAGGGAAGGGGGCAGAGGAAAGGGAGGCATGGGAATGGGGGTGCGGCAGAGGGGCAGGAAAGAAAGGAGGAGAGGAGGCAAAGGTGAGGGGTCGCGGCAGCAGGGAAGGAAGCAAAGGAAAGAGGCTGCGTAAGGAGGGGAGGTGTGGGAATGGGGGCGCGGCAGGAGGGAAGGAGGCAAAGGAAAGGGGCTGCGGCAGGGGGGAGGAACCAGGACGGGGGGATAAAGACACCTCCCCCTGCAGCACCAGCAGTGCACGGCACGAACGGTCGGACTGAAAGGGCACGCGGGCGGGCGCGAGCCTGCCTAATCATCTTGCACCTCCTCTCCTCGTCGGGACCCCAGGCGCCCTCCTGCGAGTTTGCGAAGAGCATGTGGATCGCCTGGAAGACAAACTTCTCCTTCATGCCCTTCACTGCCAGGACGCCCTTGGAGCGGAACAGGTCCACTCCCTTCTCCTTCAGCAGCCACCCGATCCACTGATTGAGCTTCTGCTGCACCACCTCCCCAGGGACATCGATGCCGACGGACGAGACGCGGTTATCGTGCTGGTGGTCGTGGCTGTCCTCCAAGAACGCGTCGTCCATATCGATGATCTTGTCGAGGGAGAAACCGCGGATGCCAAGGACGAAATCCATCTCCACCTCGCTGTTCGTGGTCCGCTTGATGGGCACCGTGGCATTGATGGCGCGGATTCTTTTCTCCACCTGCGGGGTGCTCAAGCGCACTCCCCCGTCTGGCATCGCAGGCGCCACAACTCCGTCGTCGTCCTCGTCGTCGCCTTCGCCGTTGCCGTCGCCGTCACAGTCGTCGTCGTCGTCGTAGTAGGACGACGAGGTTCGAACCCCCGCCCCTGCGCCAGGGGGGGGTGAAGAACCCCCCCCCCTTCCCCCCCTTGCGCCCCCAGGAGGGTGAGGTTCGCTAGACCCACACCCCTGCCCAAACGCATGCAAAACTTGTTTTATCTCAAGACAAGAAGCAAGAAGCATCGGCAGGTAAACCGAGGATGGGCTGGCGTTCCCCACACGACCTGTCTATCACACAGGGCTGAGACGATCTACCGTGTAAGGCCGCCTCACCCTGCCTGCAGCCTTCGGCCGGCCGGGGTCAAAGAGCAACCAATTACCGTGGAAGAGGGGGGGGGTAGGGAGGGAAAGACACGGACACACGTGCGATCGGCTCCTCCTCCTCCTCCTCCTCCTCCTCCTCCTCCTCCTCCTCCTCCCCCTGCTCCCCCTGCTCCCCATGAGTGGCCCTGACGACCTCAACGAGCGTGGCCTCTTCCACCAGGTCGCACTTGTTCAAAAGAATACGGTCCGCGAACGCGATCTGCTCCACGGCCTCGTTCTCCACGCCCTCCGGCTTCTCGTCGTCGAGATGCTGGATGACGTGCGCCGCGTCCACAAGCGTCAGGATACCATCCAAGCGCATGTGCTGCTGCACATACTCGTCCGCGAAGAAGGTTTGCGCCACCGGCGCTGGGTCCGCTAGGCCAGTGGTCTCGATCATCACACCATCAAGCGGCTTGCCCGTCTTCTTGGAGTTCTTAATGAGTTTCTTAAGCCCCGCGATCAGGTCGCCACGCACAGTGCAGCAGATGCAGCCGTTGTTCATCTCTACGATGTTCTCCTCGGAGGCCAGGGAGCCCGCCTTGACGAGGGAGTCGTCGATGCCAACCTTGTGCAGCTAAAAAACTATACTCCTTCGCCTGGCCCCGCTCTCCCGCATCAAAGGGGGAAAGAACCGGGGCTGGGGAAAAGAAGACGAGAGAGAGAGAGAGACGAGGGAAAGGCAGAGTCAAGAGCGCGCTCATTGAAACGGAAACCTCCCCGAATTCGTTCTCGATGACTGCGATCCGCTTGCCGTGATGCGCCTGCAGGATGTGGTTCAGCAGGGTCGTCTTGCCGCTCCCGAGGAAGCCAGTGAGGACCGACACTGGCACTTTCTTGTCGGAGTCCTCCGACAAAGAGTCCTTCTCAGCCGCCTCCACCTCTCGTGGGCGGATAACGTGTCCATGTCCACGGCTTCGCGGTCCGGACTCCTCGGCCTCGACCCCACAGATATGCGGCGGCGCTGCGCGAAAGCCCCGCACGGAGCGCGTCCGTGGGATCCAGCATCCACCGGATCGCGCCTCGGCATCCAGATCGCGATGCACTGTTTCCCCAGGGGCCGTAGGCGACCCGAGGAGGAGGAGGAGGAGGAGGAGGAGGTGGAGGAGGGGGAGGAGGAGATAGAGGAGGAAGAGGAGGAGGAGGACGAGGACGAGGACGAGGAGGGAGGAGGAGGAGGAGGAGGAGGAGGAGAAGGAAGAGGAGGAGGAGGAGGAGGAGGAGGAGGAGGAGGAGGAGGAGGACGGGTCGCCTAAGCCCTTCGGAGAAATCTTTCGGATGTGGAAACGGGTGCTCTCCGCTCATAGACCTTTGCCTTCTTCGCCTTGATCTCCTCGCTGGCAGGGTCCAAGATCGCCGCGGATCCATACTCGGTCGCGGCACGCTTGAGGGCCCCCAGGCCGGACAGCAGGTCGCCCCGCACCTCGTACATCTTTCGCAGGGCGGACTTCTGCTCGGCCGACAGCTTCGGCGTGATCTCTGCTACGAACGTGGCTGGATCCTTGAGGATCTGCGAGCCGGAGCCCCCAACCTCAGTCTCGAAGAGCTCCATGCTCTTGTTTACCTTGTTCACTCCGTCGAAGAACTTCGAAGCCTTGAACAAGGCCTCGGCCTCGGCCAAGAGGGGCTGCCAGGTCTCCGGCATCCTGACAGGGGCGATCAGAACCTGTCATCATGAAGCGCTGCTCCCTCTCTGTCCCTATTTCCGAAGGCCAGAGGAAAGGAGGGGGAAGGGGGAGGAGGGAGAGAGGGGGAGAGAGGGATGGAGATGGGCATGAAGAATTGCTGCCCTCCCACATCCCTCACACCTGATGCAGGAAGAGGAGAGTCGACATTTGATGGGCTGGGACGATGAGATGGGTTTATCACTAGGTGCACGCAAACATAACACGGTTGGGGACGGCTGGGCAACCGTTCAAAATGTGTATAACGGTCTAACACGGGCAAGGTAGGAGCTCCTGGGGAGCCGAAATAGCGGCGGCATGACAGGAACCGGAACCGTTCGAACATGGAGCCCCACATCAAGTCTGCCAACCCCTCGGGTGTCTCACCAATTCTCGGAGCAAACGCCAGCACAGCGCACGTGCCACCCAAAGGCGTACTCACTGCTTCACCAAGCGCGCCAATCGCAAAAAAAGATTAAGGCACCACCCAGCGAGAAAACCACCACGTTGTTCGTGGCAACTAGGCAGCATGAGGACGTAGTGTGCGAGGCACACAACAAGCGCAAAGCGGAGTGCATAAACCAGGAGTTCCGTTTTCTGACGCACACCCTCGAGCACCCTCACGTCATCCGCTGTGTAAGCATGCTGCACAGCCAGTGCAGCGTGCATTTGGCTCTCCAAAACGGTGACGACGAAGGTTTGGAGCAGGCGTTGTCGACTCAAGCAGGCTACCGCTTGTCCAGGGGCGACTCCATGGACAGCATTGGCAAGGCGGCGAGAACATAGTCCTGCTGCCGCGCCCAGGATGTCCCAACTGCGCCTCCCTACTTTGGGGCCGTCAGGGGCGTAGCCACTGGGACCTCGACGAGTGGAGCCATCCGCGGCGCTGCTGCTCAAGAATGGGGGGGGTCGCAGCCGCGCCGGTCGCACAAGAAATGCGTTCACGGCTGGGTCAACCGCAGCTACCACCACGACATCTCGGTCAGAGGGCGGAGCCAGCTCACGGATCTTGTCGACGAGCTTACGCGCATCATGCAAAACAACGGCGACACCTGCGAGGGCGACAGTCTATTCTGAGGAATCGCGAGATGAAATCCACATGGGCGCTAGGCGAAGTGATATTTCACTCGTGCACCAGAACGGGGCAGAACTCCCCGACCTGACTCCCCGATTCCAGCAGGCTGTCGTCCAGGTGCGCCAGACCGAGCATCAGCATCGGGATGGGTTCCTAGAGGAGACTGGCGACGGTGTCCTCGATGACCCAGCACCACCTGGACGAGGGCCTGCCATGGCTCGAGTCGAACCCCGATGACCGCAAGCGCTGCTGGATAACAGGCTTCTCCTTGCAGGTCCACTGGGCCATCCTCCAGCTCCATCAGCACGCCGCTCGCCCCGAGGCTGTAGAGCGTGCCCGCTCGCTCCATCAGATCACAGACGCAGCCCTGGGTCAGCTCAGAACCATGGCGATCGGGCAGCGCCACGAAGAGGCCGAACGTGTCGGGGCACGCGGTCCTCCGATAACCCAGGAGACGCGCCACGTCCTTCCTCCTCTCACCATCCTGTACACGGACACGGTCGGTACCCCCGCAGCCGGCCCCCCCGGTGCGTTCGGAGCGTCGCAGTCGTCGATGTCGGGCTCGGACGTGCTCATCCTTGTCAGCATGTTGGGAGGTCTCCGTGATCAAGAAGTTGGCATACCATTCGAACTGATCGACTTGTCCTTCTGCTAATTAATAGAGCCAGCCCGAATGCCCCGCACTCGTTGCCAGGCTTGGTGGTGGTGACAGAGTCACACCAACGGCTTCATCTCTCGTCAACCACTCTCCTGCCCCAGCTGCCTCGCAGCTGGTGGCAAGGAGACTGGCCACGGACCAGTGCCCAAAATATCTGCAATACACACACATCGCAGCCACTTGACCACGCCCCGTGCGTTGAGAAGGGCCGTTGGGGCCTGGCGGCCGCGACGACCGTGCCACCATCACCTAAGCTGGCATAGCTCCCCCGCAGCGGCCGCAGCGCAGCCAATCCCAGTGCGAGGTGCCGAAGCACCACGACGCCACCGACAATGCCCATCTGTTCTCCACAACGGTGTCGTAGTTGGGGTGTTTTTGAGCGGGTATCTCCTTCCCTGAATATTATGCTCGGAAGTGTCGCTAAAACGATCCAAAGGTGTAATGGGCAATGCTGATATTGGTCATAAAGGGCACTGATGATCTAGGGATGTCGGCTGCCCTCGTGGACCTCCCCATCCGTCCTCGCCATGATGGTATCCACGAAGTCAAAGCTGTGTGGACTGAGAAACATACAACAGCAAGGTGACGTTCAAGCTGTCCTCGGCGGAGAGCTGTAACAATAGCACGGCGGGCATCACGATGTTCTTGGCAAAAATCGACAGCCTCATCACGTTGGAGAGTACATGGCACAAGAGAATAAGGAAGCCATCGGTGGGTCATACCCCGAAGACTGCTCCGATACTAAGTCGACTGGTAAGGGTTAAAACGATTGCAAAACGTTGCTCACTAAGAGCAAGAAAACATAACAGACACAATTGAGGACGGTCCAGGCGAGTGGACAACACGGGTATAACACGAGCACTGTTGGACGTTCTGAGGAGCCAAAAAGGCAGCGGCATGACAGGATCTGGTATCGTTCGAGTAAGAGGAGGAGGAGGAGGAGGAGAAGGATAAGGAGTAAGGATAGGAGGAGAAGGATGAGAAGGGAAATGGGGAGGGGAGGGAAAGGGGGGGAAGGGCAGGTGGGGTGGGAGGAGGAGGAGGAAGAGGAGGAGGAGGAGGAGGAGGGATGGAGGGAGGGAGGAAGGGAGAGAGAAGCGAGGTGGGCACGACGACCACGACAACGACCAGGAAGGGCAAAGGGTGGGAGGAGAGGAGCCACTCGCCACGAGCGCGTCGGGCCCGTCCTGAGGTCCGCCTCCGGGGCAGCGCCCGCGCGCGCTCGATGCGCCGGATGGCCGCAAGGCCGACGGTGCCCCGTCCTCTGGCGGCTCGAGCCAGAAGGGCCCCGGAACATCAGCATGGAGATGACACCTGAGGAGGAAAAACATCGGTGGCAACTCATGGGGGCCTCCCCTGCCATCTTGTTGGCCATTGCGAATCGACGCTAATCAACGCTAAATCGACGCGAATCGAAGCTAAACGACGCTGAATCGGCACTATCTCATCGACTCAAGACGCCTAATCGACGCTAAAGACGGAATTAAGATAATATACCAGGCTCCCATGATTTGCTACCAAAGGAAAAGATCCAGACCTCCAACAGACTGGAAAAAGTTAGCCTGGCGAAGGGCCCAACCATATGCGGTTGTGGGCAACGCAGATGTAAGCACCATCTTCGGCGGAGCTCCGGTGAGAAGTCGCCACATCGGATCTGCCTGACCACCCTCTGTGCGGCGTCGCCATTGATGGAGCTGCGGTCCGATGCTGGGGGGGGGCGGATGCCAGATGCTTCGGCGTCCCTCTGGGACGATGCGGTCCATGAGCCCCAATCGTCACTGGCGTCGGCCTGCTGCGGCTGAGGGCCGCGGGCTGGGCCGCCCGTGGGCAGGGGGTCACTTTGCCCGACACGTGAGGCCTCCCATGGACGTGGGGGAGGGGCTGAGCTGTGCGCAGCGGGAGGGTGCTGGGGTGGGTAGGGGTGGCTGGTCCTCGCCGCCCGGGGTAGCTCACCTCGTCTTACCGCTTCCCTGTCCCCGGATAGTGTTTGGGTCTGGAGGGCATTGGATGGGTCGAGTATCTCCATTAAGGATTCCTGCAGCCTGGGGGCGAGGTAGCCCCCCAGAACCGGTTCGGGTATGGGGACCGAGTTTATGGGTCCTTGGAGGTTGTACTGCGAGCGCGTCTGCTCAACGACTCTGAGAGCTTCCTCTGCGGTCCGTACGCCCCTCGTAGCCCAGCTGTCCCTGGTAACGTTAAGGATTGCCAGGTCCAGGTTGACCTCTCGAAAGGCTGAAATCAAGGCGCTCCTGCCGTTGTCGGAGGCCGATTCCCAGATGAAGGGGACCAGGATGCGGCTCCATGTGTATTACCCAAGGGGCATGCTGCTGGAGGCAACCATACTTCTGATCCTTCCCACTTCCTCTACGAAGGCGTTAACCTCGTGTAGTTGGGCCGCTGGGAGGTCAGTGTGTCTCCTGGACGGGCGAGCGCGCTCTGGGGGAGAGGACCCGCAGGAGGCCCAGGGAGGGTCGGAGTCGGAGGTGCTGTTGTCGTGGTCGTCGGCTCCGCATTCGTGTCGAAGCTGGAAGTAGTCATCCCATGCGTTGTTCAAGTTGGTGGGCTCGACGTGTACGGATGTTAGTTGGGCTCTTCTCTGGAGGACCGCCTCTCGTGCTAGGACCGCCCCGAGTGGGTCAGACATGTGTAGCCTCTGGGCGAGGAGATGCATACCGTCACCCCTCGCGAGGGAGGCGTAGAGGTCGAGGAGGCCCGCGGCCGCAATAGTTTCCTCCAGTGTGTAAGCGGTGGGCAGACCGTCGAGCTGGGGTTCGTTTTGAGGCGCTCTAGGTCCTACGCGAAGTCTCAGCCATTGAAAGCCCGCGTCGCATAGTGGTGAGTCGTCCTGGCGTCTTGGCTCTCTAGGGAGGCTGCTGTTGGGACGCTCGTGCAAGGCCTGAGGGTTCCAGCTTCCGAGCGACTGGGGGAGAGCAGGGGCATGTCCCCCCCATCCTTCCCAGGGGGATGGCGGGAGCTCCCGGATCTCGCGCACTTGGGCGCTGAGGGTGTGCTGCATCTCTGAGCATGCTGTGGTCGCCCATCCGAGGGGTGCGGCACGCAGCCTGGCCAGGGCACTTGCGGCAAGGTGCACGTCCGCATCCCTGGTTGGGGTGGAGGGGGCAGCGGTGTCCAAATCGATGCTGATGTCGTCGCCGTGTTCCACCATGGATCTCCAGCTCCCGAGCAGCCCGGTGACGAGCCAGGTAGCTGTATAGTCCACAGGACCAATCTCACCCTCGCAGTGGATG